TATGTGTTCACAAACAAGAATGAGGGCGAACCTCGAAGGCAAAACGACTTATGTTTCATCTGGTGTTTCTTATCGGGATTCCTGCTTTCTATCAGATAAGAAATGGCAGTAAAGATGCTTCCTGTGCGTAGACATAGCAACACACTGATGTCAGCTGTTTCCATTCATATTATAGGCACAACAATAATACAAATGGAAGTTTATATTTGCCTCGCTGGTGATCTAAAAATACATGGCCTGGATGGGAATCTACTAGTCGGGCTTGTGTGTGTGTGTGTTAGTGTGTATCTGTGCACAAGCAGTGTGTTTTTCCTGGTATTTTAAACGTAGCCCCGCCCCTCTCGGTTAGTATCAGCGAGGGTAGATCTTGTTGCATGTCACTCACTGTGTTAGACACTCACGCTCTCCTAATCTGATTTCCTTGACGTGCCTCCATTAACCTGTCAAATACATTCATTAATCTTAGAAATTAAGCGTGGCAGCTGCGCAGTAAGAGTAATGACACCGCCTCAGCTGGGCCGCAAAGTCCTATTTATAAACTCTTGTTCAGATAGTTTATTAGAGATTTTTAAATAACAAAGAAAATTACTTCAATCTCTGTGCTGCAGCAAGTTTGTGCTGTCGGTGGGACGTTCACACTTCCCTCACAGGTATTTGTCCTCGCAGCTCAGAGCCGGTTCTTATCTCTTCTTTGTGAGCACATTGTGGCCTATTTTGAAGGTGGGGGGGAAACAGGACGGCAGCAGCTGTCATCTCTGCGGAGGATCACGGCGAATGTTTTGTCTGTCACGTTCAGGCAGACAGAGATGGACCGACAAAGACATGCGAGGTCGGGAGGACGCCGGGAGGAGACTGGGTCAAATATTACAAAATACTCCAACCTAAGCTGAGCGCATTACCGCTGAATACATCATAATCATCCTCCCACTGCTTCTCTGTTCTGCAGCGTTTTTGCTTCACCTTTATGATTTTTGGGGGGAAATCTGCAGACACACGTGCATTCAGTAGCATGAATGACGACTAAATGCCATTTAGGTGTTCCAGTTGGACACTTACCGGGACATTTAAACCGAACCGAGGCGTTATTATTGGTGGCATTTGTGCTTTTGTTGCTGTGACATTCAAACTATCCGCCAGAGAAAAAAATGTGTCCCCTTCATTTCCTTCATATACCTGCATGAAAAGAAAAGCAAAAAATCACAGCTTTGAACCAAATTAAGCAGGAAATGATTGTGTGAATATTTTATAGGAGACATTTTGGGAGGGTTCTCACTTTGCTCTCTAGCCAGGAGTGTCGGGCTCAACACTTTGGAGAAGATCTAATACATTTTTTTCTGACAGATATTTACTTGCGATGTATTTATTAAAGTTTAAGCTGCGTGTTAGTATTGACTGTGCAACATGTTGAGATACTGTTAAAAGTGCGACTGTAACACAAGGAGGACACAACAAACTGTGAGTGAGGTGTGGATATTAGTAATGAGACTGAGCTTATGTTAATCAAACAAACAGCATGCGTGCCTGAACCACATATCATATGCTGATTATTATTTAATAGCCACACCCTGTATATTCTAAATTACAGCCTTTGCAATTTGCTAATTGCATTTTGATTTGACATTGATTATCTGTGCAGCCCTACATGACAAGAGACTGTAAACGGAGGCAAACAAACATCTTCACTCCGTATAAATGGAACAAAATCTGCTCACCAACATCTCTAAAGTTCAGTATTTGCCTTTGAACAGAGCCAGGCCACTATTTCCCCCTCGTCTCTTGCTAAACTGTCTCCTACCTGTAGTTTCATATTTGTCTGTGGGTGGCATCCACAGTTTTTAATCATTATAAAGATGTATTGTGCCCCTTGACGGCAAATTAGAACCGTCTCACATGTCCCCACACTGTGTTTTTCAGTTTAGAACACTGCACGATGACTGGTTTTAGCCCTGATCTCAATGGGCTATTTTGTTCTGAAAACCAATGAGCTGCTGCCGGAGCCGTAAATCACAGGTGAAGCTACACAGCTATTGGTTAGTTAGGTGTTACGTAGCACCTGGGTCGAATTCCTACAGGCTTATGAAGCTGGGAGGTTAACTAGTTGTTGGGGTGACTTGATAAATGGCAAAAGTAAGCGTCTTCATATCTGAACAGCGATTATTTTCCAAGTTTATAATAACCACAAAACACAACAAAAATGGATTTTCATCATCTGGGAACTTTACAGGTTCTGTGTAGATACTTTGAGAACCACTGGATGTTGCCAGAGCATGAGCATCTCAGACCAAAAGAAACCAGTGTGTTGTCCAGAGGATCCTTCCTCAATTCACTTATATTTACAACCAGAAAAGTTCATGAGAGCCTTCAAAAATAACCACTGGAGTGAACCCCTGCTCAGACACAAGCTGAGAAAGAGAAGCATGGGGGGACACATTGCAATGAAATGAAGTGATGGTGGTGGACATTAACTAGGAAAATAAAATGAAGGAACTATTGAGTTTCTGAATTATTTGGATTTTTAGTGCACTTTCGCTTTTCTAATGAGGTGTGAGGCGTCACTCTCAATCTGGTTATAAGCTTGCAGACAGGAACTCACATGCACATACAGTCAGATCAGCTGTAAACACATAAAAGAGAGAAGCTCAGATTACAACACACACAGAGAAAGTGTGACTTCATTCTCTTCTAAAGGTTACTCCACTATATCTTTACATAGCAGATAGCGGTTTGCTGCTTTATTCATGCTGTATTTCTGTTCAGAATCTTGCATATTGAACTTTTAAATACATCATTTAAAAGCAACTAGTTTATTTAGCTGACAGAACGTTGGTATTCATTACAGTCTCAGCTACAGTTTTTTGTGCCTTTCCACTGATCGAGGAACCATGAATCTGATCTTAGCCCAGCTCTAGAGGTCTTCAAAGCAGCTAAGCTGCACATGCTGTCTGTCATCTAAAGCCAAAATGGTTTATGGCAGACATGCTGCTGCAGAGAGGGGAGAGACATAGTAATCACATGAATGAAGATAACCTTCAGTCAGTTTCTTGTCAAGGTATTTGTGATGTTGTGATGTTGAAGGAGAGTAGATGTGTGAAGGCGTCTGCACACACAGATAATGTTTACTTTTTACATCATTTGTCAGACAGAGCGTCTGTCTCAGGCAGGTTAGCTCAGGCTCAGGAGGTGTCAGGAGGTTAGATTATATGAAAAGCAACTTTGTTTGAAACATACTGAGGCCTTAATTACCAAAGTAGTTCCTACACCATCCAAACACAGACAGCACATACAGACATGACAGCACTCTAGAAGTGAAGAAAAAAATATCTCCAAAATGTCATCATTTACAACCGTAGTCTGCGGAGAAGTGATGTCTTGTCTCCTGTCGGGGCCCACAGTGCCAAGCAAAGAGCACAACCAGTCTGTAGAGGAAAAAGTAGTTGGGTACTTCAAAAAGTCACCCAGAAACAAGGCGTAACTCCAGTTTTTAAGCATAACCGTGTCCTATAAAGCCTTATATCACTGTCCACGAAAACTCAAGTGTTTGAAGCAATCAAAGAAAAAAGAAGAGGAAAGTTTCAAGCTGGCTGCTGTTTGGCTGCAGGATGATGTTAACTTAAATACTGCACAGACAGCAGGAGCAGCCAAACAGCAAATGTGAAATGTTGCCCCATGCACCTTAGGATTTGGGGTATACCACACCATCACACCATCTCGAAGCTTTCCTCTCTGTTTTCTTTGATTGAACTGTGATATACGGCTTTATTTTAAACAATTATGCCCCAACATGCTAGTTACGCCCCTTGTTTCTAGGTGAGGCCACAAACTTTTTCCAGAACCCTGATAGAAGGTCTGCTACAACAACAGATTTTCAAAACGTGATTTTAAAAAAAAATCATTATAATGATATATCAAGACATCTATAGAAAACAACAATAGTATCAGTCAAATTCATCTTTAACTTTGATGTGTTTTCTGAGGTCGAGAGAGAGTCTGTAACTGTAACTAACCATAACTGTACTCTATGTTGCTCCTATCAGTGTCAACCGCTCAATTATGATATTATCACGTGGGTATTATTAGCATGATACCAGTATTTCCTTTGTAAATATCGTCAACACCAGGATATCTTGACACTCCTACTGGCTAACTAGACAAGTGTCAGTTTCCAGTCATTTGCATTTAGAAAATAAGCTTACAGCGAGCTTCCACAAGAGTCAAGGCCAGTAGGAAGGCAGGATCTTGATACCACATCTCTGCTGCCTGGTCATTACTGTGCAACAAAACCAGTAACTTTGGCAGAAGTTAATTCCAAAGTCCAAAACCAGTAACTAGTCCAAGAAAGCAGAGGCACAAAATCATCAGGCAAAGATTTAAAACAGAGACGCAGGCAGGGATCAAAATCCAAGAACAGCAGGAGCACAAACACTGATTAGGCAAACACTGTTCACCGACTAGTATACATGTACAGGGACTAAATGAGCAGATGGGCAACAGGTGTGTGTAAGGTAGAGCAGTGATAGGCTGGCTGCAGTGGGTGTGTTTTGTGGGTGGAGACTGAATAGAGGCGGGAACAGGTGCTGACTGGAGGATGAGCAGGAAGCAGGAAGCCCCAGCAGAGTCCGAGACAGTGAAGGATGGCAGCATCCATTTGCATGAAATTTTGACTTCACTTTAGTGCAGACCTTTCTAGGGTGTCTCCTGCCTTTACCCTAAGTCAGCTGGGATAGACTCCAGCCCCCCTGTGACCCTAGTGAGGATTAAGCGGTGTGTAGATAATGGATGGATGGACTTTAGTGCAGATTGAGGAAGTGGTTTTGAGTCATTCATATTTCTCTTACAGTCAATGATCCAAACTCATTAACCTGTCCATATGAGTTTTTTTATGCAAGAAAGCATTTTGTGGTTGAGTATTTCCACCTTCAAACTGCAATGCACCAATTACAGTCTCAAAAACTCAGATTTTCAGGGTTTTACAAATTTACGGAGCCGATCCTGTCAACTTGCAGGCTGGAGATTTCAGCACCATTATTCTTCTTCAGAATGGGTTTCTGGGTTGAGCATGTGTGGCTGTTTTACTCGATAGCGGACAGTAGTTTTACAGTTTGGGTGAGCTGGTGTGCTCGAGCTGCAGTGAACAGCAGAGGGATGGATGGAGAGAGAAGTGAGGAGTTCATGTCTAAATTTGTAACTGATTCTTGGAGATGAGTTTTTCGAGCTTTAATAAACAACTGGAGAGAGACTTTAACCTCAACAGTAGATGAACCCAGACACTGCATGACACTTTTTTATGCATTTACAAGCATCACTTTGATTTCAGTCTACCTTTCAGGGACACCTTACAGCCGCTTCACTGAAACCTGGCTGCCTGAATTTGACTGTTTAATTTAAACCCAGCCAGATATTAAATTAGCCATCTCTGATTTTCTTCACTTCTTCTCATGACAGCGAGACCAATGATGGAATAAATTTCGAACAATGCAGCTTGATCTCTGACTAATTTCATTTCACTCTGTCCTGGCTTTCAACTGAGCAATTTCGGAGCCGCTGACATTACTATGGTAACGCTAGCAAATCTGAAATCATGCAGTGAAGCCACAGTTGTCCAACAGAAAGGCTGCATTCAGATGTTCAGGTGGCTTTTAAAGGCACTTAAATATGCCTTTTTAAAACTGACAGCTTGTATTAAAAGTCAGTCTAGAACATGAATTTATTATCGCCAGTGGCTGCATTCTCTTTGGGCGATTTAACTCAAAAAAACATCAACTTTTTATGACTCTTGCACCTTTCACTGAACTCTGAGCGTTTTGTGCGTAAAATTCTGTCGCACAGGAGTGCTAAAATGTGAAAACATCCTTCCACTCCTCTGCACATCCCTTTCCCATTGAAAAACCGTGCAAAAAGATCATCTGTTAGCAAATGTAGGAGGTTCACACTTATCTGTTTCTCTCATCTGCACCCCACACCCACCTGCATGCAAAACACACAAGAGCAGCAACACACAGTCACGAAGACAGACACACACACAACCCCGTCACAAACACCCTCTCGCTCGTGTGCAAACTCGAGCAGAGTCGTGCACACACACACAGTCTCAGACATGCTCCTACGCTAACACACCCACGTGCATAATGTTTCACACTTGAACGAGAAAAAAAAAAAAAAAAAGCAGCTCCCAAAACATCAATTGCTCTCCCTCTGCGTCTAGGTGGCCCTGGCAGCGGCAAAGGAACGCAGAGCCTGAAGATTGCCGAGCGCTACGGCTTCCAGTACGTGTCCGTGGGCGAGCTGCTGAGGAAGAAGATGATCCACAACGCCACCAGCAACAGAAAGTGGAGCCTGATCGCCAAAATCATCACCAACGGAGAGCTGGCGCCACAGGTAGCAAGGGGGGCAAACAGACGAGGAGAGGTGGGGTGATGGAGGATGGGGGTGGGGGGGCGGAGGATGTGAGAGGAGGGAGCATCTCCAGCCACTCTCAGGTCATTATCACAGCATGCATATAACAAGGGACTAATTAGCAGCATCCATATCACAAGCGTGCTGCAGAGAGGGATGCTTATCCGTCTTATTAGCATCTATCTTTGTAAGATAATGACACTGCCTGGGAAGAAAATCAGCACAGACCCCCTGTGGTTGTTTGCACTCCACTCTTTCAAACACTGTATAGAAAATGCATATGATGCTCTCTCATTTCCCAGCTCAGCATGTGCATGACCATGAAGGACACACACGAGATATATCATAGAATGCGCTGCCATAGTTTCCCATTCATCTAATTTATGACTCAGATATTTGTTATGTGTTTTCAAGGAATTTGAACCCTGCCACCCAGGAGGTCTCTGTGCTGGGACCAGAGTGTTGTATTAAAATGCAACCTGGCTCCACAGCAAACCTTCAACAATTTCCCTGACGTTTGCTCCAAAGGGATCAACAAAGTTCTATTCTATTCTATTCTATTCTATTCTATTCTATTCTATTCTATTCTATTCTATTCTATTCATGTGTTTTGTTTAGATTTATCAGATGAGTTTTATTAGACTTGACAGTTACTGCTGATCATTTTTTTTATCAGCTATAACCACAGGCGGCTGTGGCTCAGGCGGTAGCGCGGTGGTCCTCTAATCGCAAGGTTGGCAGTTTGATCCCCGCCCCATCACGGTCGAAGTGTCCTTGGGCAAGACACTGAACCCAAAGTTGCTCAACACAAATTTTTAAGTTGGAAAATTTTTAAAAATGAAGTCACTCCAGTGACAGGTAGGTCGGTGAGCAGACTTGAAGTCAACTAAGTCAGAAATTTATGACTGCAAATTACACACAATATTAAATTGGTAAAATTACTGACATTATTATGTCAACCCAATCCATTAAAATAATATTTGCAACTAAAAAGGGGTCTCTGAGTCATCAAATTAAATTTCTTCTTTTTTTTACCTTGCAGCCATGGGTTTAATTAAGTGGTGCACAGAAGCTCCTGAAATTACATTTTAGAATGCAGAAAAATATTTGTATTAGTTTGTACAAGGCCTGGATGAGGTGGAGGTAAAAATCACAGTTTTATATCTCACTCTGGTCTGGTGATAAGGATAAAGAGACTTATTGTATCTCAAAATTTTCCAAAGTTTCTGTTATCCATAGAGCCAAAACTTTAAACTTTGGCCTCACAGCTGAGGAGCTGTTCACGGATCGAATGGTTTACGATTGTTAGCATTTGTAATAATGTCCATCTAAAGAAATGGATGTGATGCAATGATGAGATGAGATCACTCTTATTTTTTTTTTTTTAGATTTTATGACTTTCATTTAGCCATCGAGTTTTAAGGTTGTTTCTTCATAAAACTTACAGAACCTTTATTTAATTATATAAAAACATCATCAATGTGTGGTGATGTGGTAAAAATATTATTCTAATGAGCTTTTTCTAGATCGTTGGACTGTTTCTTCAGTCAGTAGCATGAGGAAACTCCCCCGACAGTCAAACGCCTTCATCGTGTGACTCAGTGTCCATACATATGGCACAACTTCATTGTCAGATTATTTGCATTTAAATTGAAGCACCAATTACAACAGGTCTCTGATCACCTATTACAGGATAGAAGATGTTTAAAACGTAACAATCCACTGAAGACTCTGTTAGCGAGTGTGAGCAGCTCTTGTTGTGAGCTAATTGAAGGCGGTGCGCCACAGGCAGACCAGCAATCTTCACACACATTTGGATTTGATGATACAGTCTAGTCTTTATTTACTGCAATACAGCGTCTGAATAATTGATTTCAACAGGCCGTGGGTGGACGTCTTATCGAGTTTAATTTGCCGAAGAAGGCCCTGAGATGTGGTCACGAGTTCAGGATGAAGCTCCAGAATGAACCTTGAGTTTAGAATATTTAACCACAAACAGTGAACGGATCGCTGCCCCGGCGACGCGAGACAATGCGTTCACTTGAAACTGCAAAGAAAAGTCTAATTATTGTTTTCCACAGCATCCGATTCTTCTCATTGTTTGTGCTTCAGGTTTAATTTCCTGACCACAAGTAGATCCATGAATGGAGCCTTTTTATCTCACACATCACATCGTATTCACCATTAGCAGGGATTTTTTTTTAGGTGTTTAGACACTGCAAGTGAGACAAAAAAGATAAAAAATTAAGACAAAAGGCTGACAATCGTGGATCTGATATGATTAATGACTTATGTAAAGCAGATCCAAACTCCTTAATATTTCATTTTAACAGTCTTATGTAATGGAAACTAAGCAGGGCTGTACACAAAAAACAAAAGCTAGAACAATAAATTCACTGAAATGATTTGGATAATAGAAAGAAAAGAGCTTTAGTCTATAATGATGACTTCAATTAAAACCAAAGTTTACATTCAGTGTCACTCAGGAAAATGTGTTTTTATCAGGTCTAACCAACAGTCTGAATGCACTTGCAGCCTCATGAAACTAAATTGTTTATTATCTTACATGCACGAGGGAAAACAAAACACAGACTTAAATATTGCTGCATCGTAAGAGAGGCCAGAAAATATACAAGAAGGCTTTGATCAAGGGTTTGAAAAGACGGAGCAACGCAAGTGCAAATTCAAGTCTGTCCCCTTTTCCACAGAGTTGTGTGAAGCATTCTTTTGTCTTTGTTGCGTAGCTATATTCAGACGTACTGATTCAACAGTGTCAGGACCTTCCAGATACAGCCGTCTTTACACTCCAGTCACTTAAAACGCATAAATTGCATTCAGATGATCTCAATTTCAGTAATTGTGTGACTTGTAGCACCAGATGGGCTGCTCCTGTGTTAGATTAGATGAATCACTTTAAATAGGGCTAAATACTTATGCAGTCACTTTCTTTACATTTTATATTTTTAATTAATTGACTTTGTAGGAAACAGTTTTCACTTTGACATGACATTTTTTGTAAATTCTTGCCAGAAAACTACAATTTTATTGCTGCTGTACATGAAACAGCATGAGTTATTGTGCCTGTCTGGATATACGTGAATCTACATAATAGAAACACCTGAGCGGGTGGTCAACACCTGCATTAGTGCTGCAGTGAGGTCGTAATATGGACACAAGCCTCAAACCGCTTCACGACTCGCACTTCTTAGCTTCTGTGGCCTCATGAATCATCATCCATCAACTGTACAGCTCATCGTTTATCATCCCTTCCTTGCATGTCTGGCGTGCCATCGCATCTTTCTTGCACGCCAGATGTCAGTCCGCTAACCGGTGGGATAAAGAGCAAAGCAGACCCAGTAGCAGCAGACATATCAGACACGATAAAGTGACTTGTGGCTGTTAGGCATTTAATTTCCTGCCATGATTAGTTTAGCAAAGCAGATTAGAATTTGGTTTCTGCATGTAATGATGAGACCAAGAGCCAAAATGCTCCTGGGTGTATGAGACGGCTGTTACTCAGAAGCTTTAAGCAGGAGCCCCGATGACAATGTTGTTTGTGTAATAATGTTAAATACGACTGATTCAAAGCGAGTGTTTAGAGGAGATTTTCCACTTTTATTCTGCAGCAGATTGATTAATTATCAGTTTAAATAATTGCTTATGAGCATTTTGTGGCTGCTTTAGTGTGAGAATAACATGAATATAAAAGTTTGTGGTGAATCATTTGAAAGTCAGCACAAGATCCACAGAAGGAGTGGTGTAGTGTTGTGTGAGAGCTGCTCATAAAGCATTAAAAATGAAGTAGTTTTGGGAATCAATGTCTTTGCTTTCATGCTGATAATTAGATGAGATGATGATAGCGCTCTCTTATCTGTGTGTTAAATATGAAGCTACACATTGCTTACACTCAGCTTAACTAACTCATTTTTACCCTACAGACAAATTGTAATAACAAATCCTCCCCTTAAAATGTGAGGCTCTTCATTACAAGCTGTATTTCTCTGTAAGCAGGCTACATACAGTGCTTCGTGTTTTCCCTCTTTCAGACCACAGTACTCCACTCACCCGCTGCAAATGATTAAAATGCTGAAAGCTCCTCGTATCACTTCACTGACTCTCAGCCAACGACCGAATGCTGTTCGTAGCGCTGCGGGGTCATGTGACTCAGTGCATTTCTGAACTTGTGTTCCTGCTGGAATCCCACAGGTCGTCTCATAAGAGGCTGTCAGACGTTCATCCGTCTGCTCTAGAAATAAAGACCGAAAGCGCTTTTTTTTGTTTTTATAATCTTCGATTGTGAAAAGTCTTTAATCTATAGAGGCTCAGCAGAGTCCGGGGTTATTTTGGATTTATGTAGCTTGTGTTGCCCTTGAAAGGATTAAGTTGTTTTATTTTTTACATTATTTTTTGTAAACTTAACAGTATATATCATGCACAGAGTGTATTATTTAATGCTCTTAAAGCTTTTGTAATAATAGGAGTTGATGCAATGGGCATTAATGTGTGATTCTGCAGGATTTTGTGCAATGCAACGTCAATTAACAGAACACTAAAAACTTTTTAACGTCCTATGTGACAGCTGGTAACTCACAACAGTTCACTTTTCACCCTGGAAATAGAAGTTAACAAAACTATCTCAACTTCAGATCCACTCACTGAGCACAGCTGTATAATTGGCTCACATGTCAGAAAGCCGCACACATTCAGACTTTACTATTCTAAATGGCGTCTGCAGGTAGTGTTATTGTATCAGCCCAACATACACAACCAGCCGTCGAGGTGCTGAAAATAACAAAAAGTTTGAACACTGCTCATTAGAGCAAGCGGACCTTAAATTGAGACCGGATTTTTATCCTAAATAGTCCATTATGGTGCCACAGTTTTCTGTCTGGGTTATTTATGACTCCAAATTAGCTGCTAATTGTTAATTTTCACGGGGCTTTAGCTGCTCTTATTGTTTGGGAATGTGGCAAAGTGTGTGAGTTTGGAAACAGCACACATTTTCCAGGGAATCATGGAGAGCATTGTGCTCAGTTGTACACATAAAAGGTGCCACGATAACACAGACATCTCCCTCTTCAGCAGCAGAAAGATGTTGAGGGCAGGGGATTTCTAACGCTATCTGATGACTCTAGACACAGTTCAGACGGATAATAAATCCAGTTTTATCAAAAGATGGCAGTTAGTCTTGTTTTTAGTGGGACGGCTGAGCAGACTTTGAGCAATATGTGCTAACGTTGCACTATACTTTCTTCTTGTGTGAAATGCATGCACTATATAAAACCCTTACAGAAAATGGTCTATGCTTGTAATAGCACCTTCTAACTGTAGCCAGAGCCTGCAAGAGCTTCTCAATGTGTTACTCCTTCACCTGCTCATTTCACTCCAATGGAGGCGGAGCTGCCACGCAAGGTGTTCAGCCGAGGTGTCAGGTGTTGAACCACCAACCTTGAACCTGACACACAGCAGCCTCACAAAAAAGCAGTCAACAATATTTATTCCTCTCTCGCTAATGTCACCATAATACAGTGTGTCACAGTTGATGGATTTGACAATTACAATTACACAACACTGCACCTGTTGGCCATGACGCAAGACATTTATTATTAAGTGTCTGAAATCTCCATTTATTGCTCAGTGTAGAGAGAACCAACAAGTGTCTGTTATTTATCTGGTAAATAATGGATGTGTGGTTTAGATTCTGCACGTCTCTCTTGGAGTCAGAAGTAAATGTTTGATGCCCAGTATTCCTGAGAGAGCCCAATCACGGAGTCATTCAGTAGATCATTGGGCTTTTCTTAGATTAGCTTTTCTCATTTTGTCTTACACGCATACATTAATCTGTTTGATGGAACCTAGATTAGGTTTAATCTCTGCCGGGCCGCTGCTCACATTCTGTGGTCGGAGGGAAATTAAACTGTCTGTGTTGCTCATTTTTATTTTTAGATCAGAGCGTGGCTCATGTATCTCTGCCATATCGCATGATGCGTTCGGCCTGGGGAAACGCGCTCAAACATGTTGACCACCGCCAGCCATGAGGAAGGAAGTGATGCTAATAGAAGCTGGCACGGTCTGGCCTCGAGAGCTCTCGAGTCACTCGGCCGCATTCAGAAATATTAAACAACAATTGGATAAACAGATGAATTACATTGTGGAACTGTTCATTGTGCTGCCATAGTTTTCAGCTTATTTATGACTCCAAATCAGCCTCTCATTAGTCATGTTCAAAGGGTTTTAACTGCTTCTATTGTTTGTGTGACAAAATGTGTGAGTTTGGAGAGACAGAAATCCCAGCACTGGTTAATTGCTGAGTTCTTTATATTGTTCTAAAATCCCATGAAGTCCCTGCAGATGTGGCAGCTGCTTGTTATGGGAGAACAGAAATCTTGCTTATTGCTCTTTTGACATTTACACATAAACTGGGGCACCGAGCGGAGATCATTATGATTCATGTTGCCTCCGCTGTTTTCCAGGAGACCACAATAACTGAGATAAAGCAGAAGATTATGAAGATCCCGGATGCTAACGGTATCGTCATAGACGGGTTCCCCCGCGACGTCGGACAGGCCCTGTCTTTTGAAGACCAGGTGAGTCTCAAACCGGCCTATTGAACTCCTAAAGCTGTAATGAGTTACTGCTGTTGTCTTAACACCTATAAATCTCACAGAGTTGGCAGTCAACAGTGTCATTTGTTGTGGTAAATCTACAGCAATCGACCACAACATTGAAACCAGTTCTGTGTCTTCTTTGTGCTGACCGTTCAGAGTATCAACATTGGACCTCTGATGGTGTCCTGTAGTGTCTACACTGGGATCCTTTAGGTCCTGTGGGTTGTGTCTCTATAGATCGGGCTTATTTTAGCACATGTCCCAGATGCTTCATCAGATTGGGATGTGGGGAGCTTGGAGACCAGGTCAATGTGTGGAGCTCTTTGTCGTTTTCCTCGAGCTGATCCTGTGCAGTTTTTGCAATTTGGCATTGTCAGGCATTGGTAGGCCGAGACTGGTGTTCGACATCTACAATAATACCAGGACCATAGACTGTATATGAAAAGGGATTTCGCCTCTTGGTCTGAACCTGCATTCTTTGTAATGGCCAACTGGAGGGGACTCAGACTGTATACAGTTCTGTGAAAACTTTACCCTATTTCTCACCTGATTTGTTTCCTCAGTAAACATTTTCCTAAAAATGTTGTGGTCTAAATCTTTGGGTTCAAGTCTTCTTCAATATAGGAGGATGTTATTTCATAAATTATGGGCCCACTTCAAGCGAAACAGCTGATAAAGCAGGATGTGTTTTAAGACCCACCACCTTGTGATTGACAGGCCGCTACTGTATTGTATTTCTATATTGTCTACCTTTGTATTGGTTGCTTGTTGTTCATTGCTTTTATTGCTTTTTTCCTGTGAAACGTCTTTGAGTTCTTGAAAAGCGCTATACAAATAAAATGAATTATTATTATTATTATTACTATATTGGCAAGAGTCAGATCCATGACTCACATGTTACATCTGGTTTCAAAAGCTCAAGGTGGCAACAGTCTGACTCACCGGATGCAGGATACGGGCATCAGCCTGCCATTGGCCGATCATTTCAGTCAGGATTCTCCTGCCTTTACACTGTCTGCATGTCGCAGTTTTCTTCACCTTGAGAAACAGCAACAGTGACCTCCAGGCAGCAACCGACAACACTGTAAATGAAACTGAAAGTTGTGCCGATGATGTCAATGAAATGACATCATGGTGGATAAATCCATCTTTTTTCATCCAGTCCATTGTACAAGGTTTCCCAGCAAAACATTGTACCGTAATGAGAAGATCAATATTGTTCACCAAACCTGCCAGTGGTTTTAATGTTGTGGCTGCTCAGTGTAAATGTCACATAGGTTCTGTAAACAAAAAAAGAAGGAATCTTTCAGTTGCTTGTAGATATTCCTAATTATTTCAGGTTTTTTTTTTAATTTATTTATTATTGTTTTGTTTTTATATTTGTTTCAGTAAAAACTGAAGAAGGCACTTTATCTTACCTACAGACCACAGCAACCCCTGTGATTGCAGGTTACCTTTATACTCTGTGTAGACTATAAAACATCACCAAAGCCTGATTTTGAAACAAACCCAAGATGCCGCTTTTCTGCTGCAGACCCAGGATGGATTTTCTGAACCACAAAGGTCAAAAAACCTTCACCTCACCTCTCCAATCAGTCCAAATGTGACACCGTGCTAAGTAGAGTCTAAAAACAGAGTCAAAGTTTGAATAATTTCTTATCTAATCATAGCATTTTGAGCTAGACAATCATAAATCTATATTGCATAATGTACACAGGACATTAAAGTAGGAGACTGTGCTGTTTTTGACACCAAACCAGCTCCAGTGTTTATGTTGTGATGCAGACAGAGTAAAAGTTGTTAACTGTGCGCCCAACACACACAAATAGCTTCTCAAAGAGGCACCTGCCACAAGCCAAATATGTAAACGAGTTGGCCCTCCTCCACTCGCTGTGGCGGATTTCTCTCCGGGTTTTATCTTCGGCAGCGTCAGATCTAAGGACGCCACCGTCATCTGCTCGGTGGTTTGAGAAACACCATCGGGGTTTGATGTGAGCGCAGCGTCAAGGGGTCACTGTCGGGGCATTTACACTCTTTTATGAGTCATACATTTTTAATCAGCTTTGAAAATGTATCTGCAAAGTTTTGCACCCAAATGAGCAGCTGCAGCTAATTAGGGTTTACAACAACAATATTTTTGCATCTATTTTGCATCAGTGAGTCGCGTTCGTCAAGTCAAACTGAAATCCTCTGCGTGTTTTGAAAGTATGATGGGAGCTGCTGGGCGTATTTTTAGCATTTCTCAAAAGAGGATTCAGTTCAAGTGATTCAGGGTAAACATTTATTTGTGGAAACAGTTTTAGTGCGACTATGCAAGAAGGTAATTTGAGTTATGGTTATGTTATGGCAGTGTTGGACATGTGAGTTGTAAAATAGTTTGCTAGTTTCAGTTTTTTAGCATTTAATTATCTTTAGAAAGGAATTCTGTCTGTTTATTTGCTGATACCTACTTTGACAGCTTTCAGAAACTAAAACTGGACTTTTCAATTTATATTTAAGACATGAACGTTATGTACGAGTGGGGAAACTAGCGATTACAGTCGCACTAAGCTGACATGAACGTGACAATTTTAAAGCAAGACTTTTGCGTGTTGACGTTGTTTGGAGACAAACTGTAGACTTCTGTGGCACACTAACGACTGGAGAGCAGCACGACCCTGTAGCCTTATCTGATTATGCAACGCTAGAAATGGAAGCCATCTGTTCCTTTACATTCAGCACAGATGACGATCCATCATGCGGTTTGGTTTGTTTAGTTTAGCAGGAGGTAAATTGCTAGCTTTAGCATCGACGTTCTTGCTTGACGTTACTTTTTGTCCGTTATGTCCGTTTTACCTGCTGAGCCGCTGCTGGCTGCTCATTGCTGTGTTCCACGTGATAGAAACATCAAAGTCTTACTACGATCGGGCTTCATTCATGGGTCCATTTGAAGTACACTGTTAAAACACAGCCAAATAGCAATAACAGCAGTGCCCGAATGCTTTTTTTTTTCTTTTTTTTTTTTTAAACTAAAAACAAAAATGACTGTTAACATTATGCTAATGTAAAACCTGACAGTATGAACTGAACAAAACACTGTTTATTTTAGCAACTAGATTTTTAAAAAAAAATCATTTTGTACATTACGTTAAATTGTTTTGTTATTGGTTTCTAAAATATATTAAATAGACGACAATCTGCTGTATATTGCTGCCTAAATGTTCCCAATCCATAAAACTGTAACTTGCCTCATTCTTTGTTATTTTAGATGTGTCACATCCCAGAAAACAGGAACCTTCTGGGAACATTTTCAGAACTTTCCCTGAAGATTCCTGTTTTCTGGGAACGTGTGTCAACAATTCACGGCAGTGTTTGTATATTTTAAAAGAAGAAAATGTTGTAATTTAGGGGTAACTAGAGCTACAGTTAATGTTGATTACAGTAGCAGCACTTTATAAATACAGTCTATTATTATTAAACCGTAAACCTCATATTATACTGTATAGTACTGTAATCTATTCTATAGTAATTCACTGTTTAAGTGAATTACAGTTGGAAATCTGTTTTTAAAAGATCCTTCAAATCCGTTTAAAACTCACAGTAACAGAGTTTCCCTTAATGAGCCAATAACATGCACATTTAGAGGCGTATCATTTTATTTTACGTGTCTACTTTTACACGCTTTAATGTTCAAAACACATATTATTTTTCTCACCTGACATTACTGCAGCACTTTCTCTCGATCTGCCTGAAACACCTTTTTGTTTTTTTAATAATTCCCTTTTGGCTTTGTAAGTCTTCAAAGTTGTGACATGTACCAAAAAGAAGCAACAGCAACATCACACTAAAGGACAAATTAAAATAAAATTTAAAAAAAGCATTACAGTAAAGTAAAACATAGAATCTTAGAAAAACTGAGCACCAGTTAGACTTCAAGGATCCCCTTGATGAGGAATAGTGTTGTTTCTTTATTAGAAAATCTTCCTGAACTTATTATAAAAAGTAGATCTACAGTATATATAACACAGGATACACTTGATAACACCTGTCATCAACTTAAATTTCTCTGTACAGGTTTGTTTTTGCAGCAGCAGAATCTGCAGTGTTCAATATTAAAGAGGATGTGTTTTTTTAAAGGTACTGAATGTTAATGTTTTATCTTCTCCTTCACGGATAGATTATATTTGCATATGAAATTTAAGGTGACAAACCAGGCAACATGTCTGGGACACCTGGTCGATCTCACCTGCTGTGAGATATTTGATTTCAGCTCTGACCTCACGTTCCCGATGCTTTACGTCAGCATGTTTCAGCTGCTGCTGATCAGCTGTTTTCCGTTTGGCTGCACAGCCGATGCTCAGTGTTCCTGAAATGAACAGGTAGCTGCACACTGAGTGAGGACTCTGAACCTTCTGACATACAGATCGCTTCATAGTCTTCAACTACAAAGCGTCCTTGTGGAAGACTAACATGTATCTGGAAGCTGTCTGGATGTTTCTTGAGGGTCAATGAGACGCTTTCTGCCACAAAAGGCTGCATTTTAAAAGCGTGTTCAGTCATGAAACCCAATGTAAATGAGCAATAGGAGGATGATAAATGATAAAACAGAGTAATGCAGGTGGTATTTCAGCAACAGAGAAGCTATGATGTGTTGTTTACGAGTGTTGATCTAAGCTGGAGGTCTGCAATGGGAAAGTGGAGCTTTACAGTTGATTGGTCAACCGTGTGACACCATACGGTCGATTCCTTTCACAAGGATTGATGCTCTTAATTGCGTTTAAACCCACTTAACATTTATTAACTCTTAAATGAGCGCGAGGTGACTTTTAGGGGTCTATCTACGTTAGTGCAGGAAAAGTCTGACCTTATAATCTGGTAAATTTAGCTGCATTACACAGAGACAAGAGGGAAGGATGCCCTATTTGGAAAGGATTAATATTCCAAGAGGGGATGAATGTTCGCCTTTTCCCACAGTAGCTAAACTCATTGTTCCAGATATT